CGGCATAGGCGGCTACCATGGCGGCGGCGGCGGAGGAGGAGGCGGCGGCGGCGGAGGAGCCGGCTCCTATGCCAGCAGCAGCGCCAACAGCTACAGCTATGGAGGCGGCGGCGGGGGCGGCGGTGCCTATGCCAAGGCTTCAGCCAATGCCCATGCCGGTGGCTGGTAAAATCCAGCAAGGAGCAGTGCATCAGTTGACAAAACTTCTTCTTTTTTTTTAAATAATTTTTAAGCGACTTGTGAATAAAAGTTCAAATTGTTGTTGGCAAAAAACAAAACGATGCTGAGGGAAGGCCATAAAAAAGAGGTGGTTGGGGGAGGGGGGGGATGGTGGGGGCAGCATTTTAAAGTTCTGAATGACAGCATGTTTTGTATAAAGAAAAAAGAAGTGCAAAACTTATAATACCCTACACAACAAATGAATGAAAGAAATGCGCCCAATATTACGTATACGATCGGACTACAATGTCCGATTCGCTGTGGTTGGCAGCAGAAGTTGACTCGAAGAATAGCAAGGTTTTGCAACTGATTTTGCAATCGTTTCTTTACCGATCTCTGTATGGATATAAGTAATAGTCCGATATGAACAAGAACCGGGATGGGCAAAATATCTGGCAAAACGAAAGACTTGTAAATGCACGAACTTGACCTTTAACCAATATACTTATATTTCGACTTAAATAGATATAGCCTGCAGGCTCATCAGCTCATGCTGATCAGGAATATATATGTATAGCTAATGGATGGCCAGATTCTATTGCTGCTAAGCGTCACATATTGCATGACAGAACCGAAATACCCGCTGTTGGGGCAGGCCATAATATTGCCTGCAAAAGATCGCATATTTCGAAACCCGTTTTGCTGCGAAAAAAAAATACTCGTATGTAAGCAGCGACAACAACAACAACAATTACAACAAATTACAACAAGAAAAACAAAAACATGAAGAAGAAGCAGCAGCAGAAGCACCTGTGAACGTGTTTCAAAATGCCAACAACTTGGCAAAGTGAAAGATTTCATAAATTGGTTTTTGTTAGCAAGCAGAATTTACGATATTCGCGCGGGCGTGTTTCGTATTCCAATTGGATTTGCCAATTGGAGTGGCCAATTGGCATTGTCGCCCACACAGATTCCAAGCAGATGCTACGCACACCTTCAACATGCCAGAACCAAAATAGTTTCTCTTACTGAGATCATTTTGTTAAAAATGCGCAATTTCATCTCGAGTTTGTGTGTCGAACAATTATTGTTGTTTAATTAGCTAGCTAGGCGCAGTATGGAGGGGGGGGGGGGGGGGGGTAAGTGGAATTAAACAAAAAGTAAAATTGTTAAATATGTATAACAATATTATACTGTATAATTTCATGCCTCTAGTTCTTTTAATAGCCAAGCTACGATTAAGGGAACCTGTTTGCAAATGGATATTTATTAATATATTAGCTAAGTATAAGGAATATGGAAGGGGAAAGGGAGTGGGGGTGGGGCTGGGGACGGGGAGACATGGGAGAATGGAGATAAACTTGTTCTCTATATAAAGATTTTAGTTTCCGCCCACAAACGGCGACAAAGGGCCAAATCGACCTAGTACTGATCGGATATATATATATATATATATTGGCACTAGGCTAGGCTGCAAGAGAGGGAAGGTCAGTTTTCCAATTAATGAGCGGCATCCTTTTGTACCCGGAATCCATTGGAGATGTGTAAAAAGGGTATTACGAAAGCGTATACATATAGAACTAGATCTTCTCGATCAAACGGATGTCGAGATCGGAAACTACACAAGCTGGAGACGCCCCTTGCCAAATGCAGAACGAGTTGCTCAGTTTAGTTTCGATAGATTCTCTCGATAAATATCTCGATAAATATCGATAAATATAGCCGTGTGCTTTGGTACATAAGTCCAGAACTTTTCAAAATGATCAGACCATAAGCTCCGAATTTAACCAGGAATCCATTTCTCCATACAGAGGGAAGCCGTTGTTGGAGCTGGAAGAATCTAGGGTATCTGCCAGTCGGTTGCTTGACTCTAGCGCTTCTCCTCTTGCTTGTGCTTGTGCGTCTTTTTATTTGCATTCTCGTGAATTATGACAAAGGTTGTTGCTCGATTAGACGCAAACTGCGCCCTGGCATTGCGGCCGAGTATCTTTAAGTATGGCTTGTATCTTGTAGCTGTGTCTCTTTGTATCTTTGTATCTTTTTGTCGCTGTGCATCTGCGATCCTGGACATCTTGGCAGATTGACATTCGCACTGGAAAAACTTGTTTGCTCGCGTTGTTGTTGTTGGCTTTGCCGATGATCAAAGCCAATAGCAAAGCCAATTCGAGCCGCTTCTCACGTTTCCCAATCGCTTGGCACGGGCATTATTGAAAGTTTTTCGAATTTCCAGCGCACAAGGAAAATGCGCCTGCCTGTGAGCTGCATATATGCTGGTGCACATACATATACCTTATATATCTATCTATATATATATATGTTTATATAGTTAATATACAGCTGCAGTCGCATGAGATTTTCCTCAAATCGATAACAGGTTTTTGGGCTCCGGCTCCGTCTTGGCCTGGCCAATTTTAATGGTTGCAGCAGAAAGTTTTCTGTTTTCTGCCGTTTTTTTTTTTCGTTGTTTTCTTTTTGTTATTTCTTTATACCCTGTAATGCTAGAGTGCGTAGCTTGACCTGCTCGATTACAGCTCGATAAATATCGATTTTCAGTTTTGGTTTAATTGAAAGCATCTCAGATTAGTCAGATCTAGACATCGTTCTGGCCAATCTCTTATATATACGCACATTAATCGATAAATATCGATTTTCGGCCTCAGCTGCTATTCAGCAAATCTCTGAGACAGACAGATCTTAAGACTCTTACATTTTGAATATAAGTACAAGGGCCAGCCGTACATTATTCGCTGAAAATCGAAAAAAATCGATACATGTTTGAAGTAAATAAAAAAGGAACATCGATATTTATCGAGGCATGCTTCAAGTCAACAAAAACTGAGAATCGAGAAACTACTTGCTCAAAATCGATAAATATCGATTTGCAAACGTGGTTGATTTAGGGCAACTCTCTGCGATTAGCAGTAGACGTAGAGACGTTCACATTTGGGAATTATCTGAACACAGAAGATAATTCAGAAGTGTGTGTGCCCAGCTGGGCACAGGGTATCTTCTGGTCGGGCATATTCGCATAGATAGCGCTCTTACATGGCTTTTTCTCTCTCTCTCTGTTGAGGCCTGGGGCTCATTGAAGTGCAGCCAAGCTGTGGTCAGAAATATGCGGATGACAAGCGGCCAAATGTTGTCGCTCTCCTCACTCGCTCTCCCTCTCTCTCTCTGTCTCCATCTCTCGCTCTGTGTGCCTAGCTCTGTTTAAGTATGGGTCCGTTCCGGCCTAGCTGCTTTAGTGGCAACACTTAAATTGCGCCGTCATCATCGGGTGCATTCCATGTGCCAGGTTCTGTGGCCCACATTGGCTTCCAACTGGCCTCTTGCGGCCGGGCCAATCCGCTTAAATGGGCGTGGCACTAGTCCATACTGCAATTGGAGCAAATCGCTTCAGATATGGCACAAGCAAAGCTCCAAGCTCCAAACTCCAAGCGATCAACTATCTCAGCTGCAAACTGATCAAAGTATCCAAAAAGTTGTGGGCAAATTTCGAGTTTTTAAAATTCTGACCATGCGACTATATATATATATATCATATATATTCCAATTTTCGTAGAATCTCGTATTGTTCTATTGAACAGTCAATTTATAATCTTTTATGCTCCCAAAATCTTTTCATTAATAATATTTAATTTCTACCCATAGAGCTTTATCTATACTGGATAACAAAATAAGAACTTACCTGTGCTATATAGATGCATAATGCTTGATTCCAATTTGATTTTGCAATTTCCAGAAGGAAAGCTCGCTCAGTTTTGGCATGGCAGCGAAAAGTGGACAGTCTATAAAATGAGTTTAGATACAAAGTAAGATATTATTATTATTATTTAGTATGTGCTTCAAAGTCAGCAGATCGTATGAACATACATATTTCAAATTTTGGATAAAGTCAGCAATCGGGCTATAAAAAGGACACTTGAATTTTCTTTTTAATTTTGCCTTTCTTCTGTTCTGGACAGGAAATCTAATGTAGCTAGCTTTAAATGAACTAACCTCGAAATGTTAAGGTTTATGTCAAGAAAACTTCCTTCATAGTTCCTAAATTCGACTTCTTAACACGTCGCACTATAGAATGTCATTATCGAATCGTTCAAAAGAGCAAAAAATAACTGTTATGCACTCTTCGTCATCTTCATCAACTGTTATTGAAGACTTCTCAAGATACCATGATAAAGAGATTTACACAATGTATTTGACAGGTTGCTGCAAGGAAAAAAAAACCTTTAAAAAAAAAACTAAAAATTCGAGTCAGTCACAAGACGCAACGCAGAAATTGGCAAATAATTTGGGTACGACCAAAACTGGAACATCGTCAGGAAAGGCAGGCAATACGTACTGCAAAAACCAACTGTAAAACCAGTTGCTGCGGAAAAAAAAAATAAACAAGAGTGCACAAGTAGGGAGTGCACGACTAGGAGATGCTCTATACGAGAACCTATAAATCATTTCAATGGTATTTATCATTAGCATTGGCACAGCTTATCGTTAATTTTAGGTAAAGTCTGTCTGCGCGGGCATTAGGCAGAGCCACCCTATAGTCATCTAGAACGAAGAGTTCAGGTACGCGCACAGACGATAGGCGTTTACAGCTAGCCATAATGCACTTACAGTGCGTACAGGGTACAAAAAGAAACACGAAATCTCAAGCTGGAGGATCACTTGGCGTTGATTTGACATTTTGTCGCCTTTAGCGAAATGCCGAACGGGCAGCAAAAGCGAAATGCAAACTTAGGAGCAGCGACGCTCGGCAACACGAAGCTGGCCTCGGCTGCGACACGAAGCCGCCGCGTGACTGAGCAGCAGCTGAGCTCCGTTTGCCGACGTGCGTCAGCTTACACACACGGGCCAGTCTTCGATACGAGCTCAAAGCGCCAAGTCGACGGGTTTTTAGAAGCAGCGCAACGCGAGTCGCGAAACAAACGCAAAGAATCGAATTCGAAGTCGAAAAACACGAGAAGTCTGTGCGAAACTGTGCGTGAAATTGGTAAAGAGCAACACCGAAACAAAAGCAGAAACCGAAATCGAAATTGAAACAGAAACCGTTGCAAGCCGAACCGCAGCGGGCGCATTCCACATACCGAACATACTCAAGACCATTTTAATGTGATTTGTTGTTATTGTTAATTGCTTTTTCTTTTTTGGTTATTTTTTTTCGGTGTTTTTGTTATATTTGTTTTCGTCGCGTGTTTTCAAATGCAAACAAGAAATTCGCTTTGATTTCCTTTTTTTTACTTTGGCGTCTAACAATTTAAATTTATTGCAAATTTATTTATTATTTTATGTGTGTGTGCGTGTGCTTTTTTTTATATAGTTTCTTCTTCTTGTGCGAAATTTGAAGACGCAGCTATAAAAATCGTTATTTTTTGTTTCTTTTTTTTTTGCCTATTTTAAATAGTTTTTTATTGATGCGATTTAAATTTTTTGAGAAGCGCTAAACGGAGCGAGACCAAAAACAAATATCAAGGAATCAAGCTTGAGCTTCATTTGCTGCACGCGAACCGAATCAAGGGTAAGACATATGTCAATAAGTAACACACAAACATATTTAATTTAAATAAAAAAAAACACCCTCCCCCCCTCTCTGTTGGTTCAAGTCAATGTCAATGGGCGCTGACTTTCAAAGACTCTCAAGGTACAGTTGCGCCCAGCGCTGCGATAGACGCTTGCGCAGTCAAGCAAAACCTATCGCTGGTCTGTGGAAAGGTCTGGCCTAAACGTATTCCTGGCCGAAGGAAGCCCCGCTGTGCACTTCCCCCCTTCCCGTTCCCCCCCGCCCTCATAGAGCATTTAACGCACAACTGCATTTCGAAATGCGATGCGAATCATCTTAATTTTCAACGTTGTCTTCTTCTTTGCATTTGCTTGATGAGATAACCGCATGAGATAATATGTGCAAGAGTCGCCAAGGCGGGGGCCTCCCCCCCACCCCTCCACCACAAGCCCCTCTAGACGCATTCATATGCAAAAGAATCGCGTCAGCTATTTTATTGGTGTGTCGTGGGGTCGAAAGGGGTTGGGCGGAGGGGGGGGGAGGTTCGGCAGCTTAAACGCGGAATGCCAGCAGCAGCGGCGGCGGCCTCAATAAAAAAATCGTGTGTCTCGCTCGTGCCAAATCGCTAAAAATCATCAATCTTAAGTTAAACAACAACAACGACAATAAGAAGTAGAAGAAGAAGAAGAAGCACAATAATACCTGTTGTATGCGTATGCAAATTAATGGTTAAAAAAAAAAAAACACACACACACATGAAGAAAAAACAAAATACATTCTTTTTGACAGTTCTTGTTTTAAAAGCTTGGACAACAACGCAGACAAATCGTATCACAGATTATAGTAAACGACTACTAGATACCCTGTACAAAGTGAGCAGACAAATCGTATCACAGATCATAATAAACGACTGCTAGATACCCTGCACAAATGTAAGCTTAGGTCTTAACTTGCGCTATAGCAGATATTATTTGAATACTAAGTGAGCTGAGCTCATATTCTTAAACAACAAATATTACTTCGACTATCTTCGGCAAGCCGAAGACTGAATACCCTTGAAGACAGCTTACGGCTCTCTGAAGAAAATTGTGGAGCTTGTCAGCGCTGTGTTTGCAGAAGATCCTTGAAAAAATATGACTTATTTCCATATAAAAACAATTTTTTTATATAGTAACGATAGAATAGTCGGATATTAATGGGATTACGGTCATATTTAAAGATATGACAGGATAGGATATTATGGGGAAAGCTAACTTGAAAAACAAAAGGGTTTTATATGTAAGAACTTAGCTTTAGTAGGGCCCGATCCGGCTAGTTCAATAATACATATAAATAGAAATAGGCAGACACACAGGGTGTTATCAGGGTGATAATAAATTGAATTGTGGTTAAATAGATTCGAACCGTTAACCAACACAATGCATATGTTTGTCGAGCTTAAAGCTTGGGATGTTGGCACATTTTACAGTTTCACATAATATCTGGCAACGCTGCGTAGATTATTTTAGAGAAGATATATCTGTATAAAAAATATCCCTTATATATGTGAGAAAAGTGTTTATTTTTTGGAAATATTGTTTTAAAAATTGCAAGTTTTTTAAACATATTTTTCCGCATCTTTACGCTGTAATGGGCACAGAACTCTGTGCGTGCGTCTTCCAAATTACAGGGTATATGCATGAATGAGTTTTGAAAGGGTCAACGCGAAAACACTTAACCAACATTTTATGACTCCTGCTCTTTGAATCGACAGCTTAACACTTGGAATTGTGTCCACAATTGGGCACACTCGATAATTATTGGATACCATGTGGAGCTGGACGCAAGCCGGAACAGAAAATGTTGAACTTTGATCTTAAACGCAGCTGCATTCATTGGGGCGAGCATTTTTCGTATAGAAACAGTTTGACATTTTGACATTTACAAGACAATTCGAGGCTTAAGAGATTTAAGAAATTCCACGCACGAACGAGACGGAAAAATAATAAGAAACTTTAAGAAAAATGAAAAAAGAAAAAAAAACGAAAACGAAAACAATAAACAAACAGTTGAGGTCGTTGCTCAAACATGCGAGATAGCTTAACAAATAGACAATCTTGAGAGTATGGAAACTCAAAGACAGCATTTACAGACATGCAGACATGCAGACATGCCGACATGCAGACATACACATATGTACACACATACATATATATGGGCTTGTCCGGCTGTCTATCCGTATCTGTAGACTTGTATCTGCATCTGTATCTGTGCCTTTTAGCTACATACCAAATCTACATGCGTGTCTCGGCTTGATTCTGGCGAATCGACAGGTTTTTTTTATCTTAAAAAGTAACTGGCTAGTTGTCAGTTTTAGTTGCCGAGTTGCCAAGTGGGGGTATATACATGTATCGCTCTAGGGGCGAGGGGATCACACACAGCGAACTGCTGAGACCACCCGGAGTTGGGGGCTCCATACTGAGATACAAGGCCGGTCCAATTAAAGATGCGTGGTGTGCGCGCAAGAGAGGAGAGTCTTGTGCCAAACCGGAGCTGCAAAGCAAAGCTGCAAGTGCTGGAAAACACACTATAAGCTTGGCAAATAGTGTTGGTTAACATAACAGGCAGATTCCATAAGCAGGAGAGCAAAGGTGGATGCCAAGGAAGAGACACGAGCCAAGCTTTTAGTGTTGTAAAATGACAGCCAAAAGGCAACAGCAAAGCGACCAGAATTTCAAATCTATTGTCAACTAGTAAGCCAGTGTTGAGCAACGCAAATTACATGTCGAAGCAAAAGAGACACAAGGACAAGGACAGTTGAGGGGCAAAGCAAAGCCACGCAATCGGCATTTAGTGCTGTAAAATAATAAATGAACCAGCGCTGGCTGACCCAAATACTTGGAACAGTAATAAGAAAAGTTACCTTTGGCTAGGCGAAAGAGTTGAAAGAGAGTGAAGTTGTAAGCGCGTTGACACAAATATAATGCCAGTGTTGGTTAACCCACATACCAAATCCTTGAAAGAGCGCTCCGACTGTGTAAACGCTGTTGTTAGTAAGCACTAAGTGCTCCTAAGTATTCGACAATTGAAAGAGGTGAAAGCGAAGCTTTAATTATAACCTGTGTCTGCTTGGCTGGCTGCTGGCTCACATGCTGCCGTTGTTGTTGTTGTTGTTGTTGTTGCAGCAGCAGCAAATCTGTCTATTAGCCAGTTATTGCAAATCATTCCATTCCCATGCACTTGCTCATACGCTCAGCCCTCAACTGCACTGCGCTCCAAATGCCAAGCGGCCAAGTCCAACTATGTCTGTTGAAAAGTTCAAACGCAAGACGAGTATAAAAAATAGCAAACACACGGACAAGTAAGAGTGCTCTGGTCGGGTGTGCTTGACTAGAAGATACCCTGAACCCATCTTCATTCTACTGAGCCCAACTTCCTTCTACTTAGCACTTCTTCCTACTATTGAATTCTTTTTGCTTCTATTGATTTCTATTGTGGCATGTATGGAAATGCATTCTTGATTAACTTCGGTGCTTGTAGTCCGATTTTTATGAAACTTTTAGGGAACAAATGTCGCATACAAAAGTGTGTATATACTAAGTATGTTTACTATTCAATTTTGGCGAAAATGGGGGAGCAAAAGAGCGAGTGAAGTATTCTTAATCTTTATATTATAAGTATATTTTGATGCGTTACATATTGCTTGAGAAATATATCATACCTTCTACAAGGTACACTCTTGGTGTATGCATTCGAAAAAAGTGAAATTGCAAATCGAACAACGTCGCCGACGACGACTGTGTCCATAATTGGCGGACAGAAACAACGACAACAACGCCACCAAATAGGACGCTTGAGTGGATGCCCCCAAGCAGCTCGAACCAAACAGGCCCCGGAATCGGAATTGGCATCGAATTCGCCAAAGTTATTTTTATAAAGCTGCAATCCATAAACGAAAAAATGGCAACAAATCGTTTGTTATTGTCTATCACATTGAAATGGAAATCGAAAAACAAACCGAAAAAGCAAAACAAATAATTAATCAATATACAAAAAAGAAAGAGAAATAAAAATATAAACTAGCTGCGGCTAGCCACAAGTTGAATACCCTTTGCAGGGTTTCATTGATCCTAAATTGAATATATATAAATAACTATAAAAATATATAATACATGAATAATAAAATACAAATTGAATCGCTCCCAAATTAGAATGTTTCAATGCTCCAAATATTCTTACAATTAGTGCTGATTACTAATTTCTGTTAAAAGACTTTGACATAACTAGTAGGAAAATGAATATATATATTATAAATATATTTTACTAGCGGGTATGCGCCGGCCATGCCAGTGGCAAGTTTTCTGCTTACCTTAACCTTTTCTCCCAGTTCTCGCCCGTGAAAAGTTGAAATCTTCGCGTACTATATTGAACTGTCCGTCTATTTCACAACATGTTTTAAGTCCATCGAGTAAAGAACTAAACCTTTGGAATATAAGCATGCATGCGTACATGCGTGAATGCAAGCATGCATACAAGCATGCGAACAAGCATGCAAACAAGCACGCATGCATGCGTACATGCATGCGTAAATGCATACATGCGTACATGCATGCGCACATGCATGCGTAAATGCATACATGCGCTCATGCATGCGCACATGCATGCGTAAATGCATACATGCATGCGTACATGCATACGTAGATATGTACATACATACATACTTACGTACATATGTACATACATACATACATACATATGTACATACATGCATACAAACATACATGCATGCATACATACACACACACACACACACACACACACACACACACACACACACACACACACACACACACACACACACACACACACATACACACACACACACACACACACACACACACACACACACACACACACACACACACACACACACACACACACACACACACACACACACACACACACACACACACACACACACACACACACACACACACACACATATATATATATACACACACACACACACACACACATAT